TACCAGAGAAAATGGAACTCTTCCCTAATCACTGGTGGAGGGTGAGGGTGGATAAGGAGGAGGGAGACTAATATTTATAGAGCTTCATCTCTCTGCTTGGCATAGACTCAGTGGTCTAACCAATGCTACATAAGTATCTGGCCTTGGAGATTTGACCATGAGCTGTTTCCTTTAGCTCCTCAGTTCTTTTGGTACCTTGGAATATAAATTGTGCATATATTCTTAGATGTTCTAAAAAATGGAGGGGCCAGTAGGCAAGAAGGTCAATAAACTTTTGGATGGGTGAGAGTGGAAAGAAAGATGAAGAGAATGTGGAAGGAAGCTGAGTGTCAAAGAGGAAAGGTATATGTGGATACTACAACGGCTCTAAAATGCCAGCCTGGCCTCAATTTCAAGTTCATGTCACTTTTTTAAAAAGTAACTGCTTATAATTTTCCTGAGTGTTATCTTGGGAATTTTTTTTTTAATTGAAATCTAAATGCAGAAAAAGGTGCTGTTAATTGATAATTGCTAACATGTTGTTTTTGTCAATGCTTTGTGTGCAATTTATTTAAAATACAGCATATTTTAGACCCACTAGATTGGAAATTGACATAGCAAATATCAAGTTAGGCCTGATTCGAATTAAAATATTCCAAGCTATGGTAATATTACTTACTATATGGCATGTGTTGAAGGAGATATAGTAGTTTAGTCCAGTGTGACTGACTACCTCTAAGGTTTGCTTGCCTATTTTTTTTTGACCCGTAAGGGGAACGCAACCCTTGGCTCGGTGTCGTCCACACCACGCTCAGCCAGTGAGCGCACCGGCCATCCCTATATAGGATCCGAACCTGCGACCTTGGTGCTACCAGCACTGCACTCTCCCGAGTGAGCCATGGGGCCGGCCCTTGCTTGCCATTTGAATGAGTTTTCTACTGCTGTGTAACAAATTTCCCCAAATATAGCAGCTTAAAACAACAGATATTTATTATATCACAGTTTCTGAAGTTCAGGAATCTGGGAACAGCATGGCTGGATTCTTCTGGCTCAGGATCTCTCCTGAGATTGCACTCATCTGTAAGCTTGACTGGGGCTGGAGGATCTTCCAAGATGGTACACTTCCATGGCTGTTGGCTGGAGGCCTCAGTTACACACCATGTGGGCCTCTCCATAGGGATCTTCACAACATGGCAGCCAACTTTCTCCCCGGAGCAAGTGATCTGAGAGAGAAAGAATGAATATGATTATAATCATGATGGAAGCTGCAGTATCTCAGTGTTTAATCTTGGAAGTGACATACCATCGCTTTTACCGGCACACAGACCAAACCTGGTACAATGTGGGACGGGACTACAGGAGAGAAGACTGGGGGCCATTGGCATTCCTGGAGGCTAGCTACTCCAATTTTTTTAAGGTTTGGGCCAGACATTACTGAGAAATTCTTTGTTTTAGATGCTTACTAAAGTATGTAGTACTGTAGGAGATTAAAACACAGCTGGAGTTTTTCCTATTCCAGAAACTTTTAATATTATACTTAAAACTTTATGTATTTTTTTTCTGGTTCTTCATTGTCAGATGCTATAATTAGCCAAATATGCATGCAGTAGCTTTGGAAATTAGAAATTTAGATCTTGTTGGTCTCTAAACCAAATGGAACAGCTGAGTTGTTTTTTTTTTCTTAACCCTACAACAAGTTGGTAAAAAATTATTGCCAAAATGATCTCCTTGGTGAACAGCTTCAAATTAGTCATTAATCATCTGTGTATTCTTAAAAGTAAAACTCATTGACAAAGTGGCTGAAAATATTTTGGAAAACTTAAACCCCTACCTTCCCCTCCCTCACCATTATTTTTAACCTATGGACAGTGTTTATTTGCCTAGCAATTCTTCAGTTCTCATTTGAAACCCTCATACATTTTCATTATCCACATGGATAGAAGGGCTTTATTCCTCTAGCCTCCAGATGAAATCTTCTGAAGTGTGTACAGGTGGAAAGAAGAGTTTAGGAATCCTGAGCCTGAAGCCTGGCTAGATGACCTTTGTTCCCTTTCATCTCTAAGAATTCTGTGACTCTAATATTTTGATATAACAAATATGCTTTGAATCAAGCATATTTATAACAAAAGATTTAATTAATCATCTTAAATTGGAACTGCAGAAGATGATGTCTTCTGAGAATTGCTTTTGTCCATCCTGAACCAGTTGCACGTTGTTAGGGTTACCATAAGGCAGAGCTGCAAAGTCAGCACGATTTGCATTTCCTCTGCTTCCTGTTTTTGGCTCTTTCCCATCCTCTGTCCTAATTTATGAGCTAGTATCCTTCTTTTCTTTCATCTTGCCTTTCCCATAATCTCCCATCCTTCCTTCCACAGGAAAGGATTGGTGGCCAGTCATTTATTGTTGATTAGCTGACCCTTTTGTTAGGAATGAATTTTAGCTAATGTGATACCTCTAGTAATGCTTGCATATTAAGGCTTTTTAAAATCTCAAATTATATCTGTTCATTCACTAAGTGCTGCCATTTTTTAATGTCCTAAACAGTTCTAAAATCTAGCCACTTTTCTCATGTCCACTGTCATCCGCTTAGTCCAGGTCACTATTGTCTCTGGCTTGCAGCATCTCCCACATCCCTTCCTGGTCCCTCTGTTTTTTCCCACCTGTAGCCAGAATGTTTTTTTTAACATGCAAGTCTGATTATGTCCCCCATTTGCTTGAAACACTTCAGTGGCTTTTCAGTGCTCTCAGCAGAAAGTCTAAAATCCCTAAGCTTAGCCTACAGGATCCTGAATGATCTGGCCCTACCTCTCTGATCTCATCTTGTACCAAGTTCCACCTCTTTCT